GTCCCCCAGGGAGGAGGTCACATATAATTCCTTGTGGGTCTCGGTTTTCTGACGTGTGTCAGGACCTGCCTAGATGGCATGGGCACAGCATGGGGGCATGGGCCCTGCTGCCTTTAGTGTCAGCCGTGGAGGCCATGGGCTCGTGGCCCTGCTGCCTGTTTCCTGTGTCTGAGAGGCCTGCTGTGGCAGGAGGGTGGACTTGACCTCAGGTGTGATTTTTCTTGTCAGGGGGTAACCTCCATCCTTCCAGTGTTGCGGGAGGGAGTGCTGACTGGCAACCCGGACCAGAAGGAAGAAGCAGCCAAAGCCCTGGGCCTGGTGATCAGGCTGACCTCAGCAGAAGCCCTGCGGCCCTCCGTGGTCAGCATCACCGGCCCTCTGATTCGCATCCTGGGAGACCGGTTCAGCTGGAACGTGAAGGCGGCTCTGCTGGAGACACTCAGCCTATTGCTGGCCAAGGTGAGTGGCGCAGAGGCCCACTGCATTGTGGGAAATGGTGTGGTGCGGACTCTGGACTCACCGTTTCTCTCACTGGTCCTGTGGAAGGATGCTCAGCGGGGGTGAGAATGCGGGCCCTGCTGGGTCACCTGAGGGAGCAGGCACAGCAAGGCCAGCTTTGTCTTGGCGCATGGCCTCTGAAGGCATGTGCAGCCGGGTGCAGTGGGAGGGAGGAGCTGGCCCCTCAGGGTGGCCCTGTCCCCTGTGCAGGAGGACGAGAAGGTGTCCGAGTTTGCCTTGGATGGGCTGAAGCAGGTTATGGCCATCAAGAGTCGTGTGGTGCTGCCCTACCTTGTGCCCAAGGTAAAGCCCGGGGCGGGGCTCGTGCCCTCTGCCTGGTTGTTGGAGCCTCCATGGGAGGGGGTGGGCGGAACTGCCAGGAAGGTCAGCCAGCTCTGAGGAGTGGCTGGTGATGGGGGAGGGCGGGGGCGCGCTGTGCAGGCAGGACTTCTGGCCTGACGACACTCGTCCTCCTAGCTGACAACGCCCCCTGTCAATACCCGGGTGCTGGCCTTCCTCACCTCCGTGGCCGGTGAGTCCCTGGCCCGCCATCTCAGCGTGATCCTCCCCGCGGTCATGCTGGCCCTGAAGGAGAAGCTTGGCACTGCAGGCGAGCAGCTGGTAAGAGCTGTGGAGGTCGTGCCTGGGTGCTCCAGGTGCCCCTTGCCCTTCTGTGGCAATGGTATTCAGCATCCCACGGTGTCCCGTGCTTGCAGGAGATGGCCAACTGCCAGGCTGTGATCCTGTCCGTGGAGGACGAAGCTGGGCAGCGGGTGGTCATCGAGGACCTGCTGGAAGCCACCCGCAACCCCGAGGTGGGCGTGCGGCAGGCTGCCACTGTCATGCTCAACATCTACTGTTCCCGCACGCGGGCTGACTACTCCAACCACCTGCGGAGCCTGGTCTCTGGCCTGATCCGCCTCTTCAACGACTCCGACCCCAGGGTCCTGGAGGAGAGCTGGGATGCCCTGAGTGCCATCACCAAGGTGAGGGGGGGGCCAGCGCTGCCAGAGCCAGCCTTTGTGTCCAGTGCCCGACACTCAGCATTTACTCCTGACCCTGAGTCCATTAGGCTAGTACTTGGGCCCTCCACCCACCTGCTGTTGGTCAGACTGCAGCGGTTGTCACCCTGTGGATTGCTGGGATGCACGCAGCTGCACACCGCAGTGTTAAGCAGCAGCAGGGTCACCGGTGGGGGCAGGTTTGAGTGGAGTACGTAGATTGAAACTAGGAAGAAGGAACGGCCCCGTTTGTGAACATCAGCCAGTGGGAACTCTGTGGCTCCTGGTGGAGCACCATGGGGAAGGATTCGTGCTGACGGCTAAACCTTTTGGTGGGAAGGCCTTCCAACACCCAGCAGCCCCAGTGGTGGGCTTGAATGAAGGTGGGTGGGTGGGGCAGCACTCTGGAGCTACTCCGCCTCCTCACTTAATCCCCGGGACCTACTACCTTGCTTCAGCACCTCCCAGCCCCAGCCCAGTCTTAGGAGGGCTGTTGGACTCAACCCTGCTCCCCCACCGTCCCCTGAATTCCCACAGAAGCTGGATGCCCCCAGCCAGCTGGCACTCATTGACGAGCTGCACAGAGAAATCCGGCTCGCGGGCAATGAGAGCCGAGGCGAGCACGTGCCAGGCTTCTGCCTCCCTCGGAAGGTAAGCCAGGGCGCAGCATGGCATGGTGGGGCACCGGGGAGGTGGTGCTGGCCCCACTGTGCTCTGGGT